AGAGGAGACCTGTGCACCTCAGGGTTTTCAACAACTGATTTTTCACAATCCCTTGCCAGATGTGTCTCCTGTGATGCTTAAAGGGGACTTGAACCTCCAGTTTTTCTGTTAGTGGCTGAGCACATTTACAATTTACAAACCCAGGATTGCTTCTTTTGCTTACTCATGGCCGCCAAGTCTATTCTGATTCCTGGACAGGGAGGACTACCCCGGGGGGATTTCTAGGGCCGCCATCATTATGGAAACAGAAGGCCAAGTATTTTTCTGCCCCAGCAGGGTAGCCTTGAATGACCAACCATTCTGGTCAGCAGCTGAGCATCCAGTTTTCCAATATGGGCCATACTGCCCCCTGGTGGGCACAGGAATGATGGTTGGGGGGCGGGGCTGCAAAAGCAGATACCTACACTTTATCCTGGATTATGGGCTATGATACAATAGTTTTTAATTGCCAAGGGGGTGCCAAGTATTTTTTTTCTGAAAAGGGGGAAGAAGCTAAAGAAATTTGGAAACCTTAACTACTTACCACCGTAGCTCAATCCATTGCTCATTATTAAAAAAATTTTTTTAATGTATTAAACAAAATAAAAATACTAAACCCACTGTCATCAAGCCAATTCTGACTCACAGTGAATACAGGATAGAGCAGAATGGCTTCCAAGGCTCTCGGAGGCTGTCTGCCTTTATGGGAGCAGATAGCCTGACAGAGACTCGTCTTTCTGACAGCAGCTATTAGTAGTCCAGTGCTTAGCCCACAGTGCCACCCGGGTCATTTTGTTCATAATATGCCCAGTGACCTAGAGTCTACTCCAACTGAGAGTGGCCTGTGGGAGTGTGGCACTGCTCTCTAGGGTTTCTGCGTATATACACCTGGAGCTGACAAATTCATTTTTGTCCTGGGGAGGAGCTGGTAACTTTGAACTACCCACTTCGTGGTAAGCAGCTCAGGGTGTAACCCACTGCACTCCAGCAACTCAAATCTTTGGGGAGCTTTTCAAACAGGTGCACAGTTCCCACCCACTCCTCAAGAACGCAGCCCACTGCTCTGCTGTCCTCTCCTCTGGGCATTTCTGCCGGTTGGAGCTGGTCGCCTCCTGTCCCAGGGCTCACTCCCACTACTGCACAGCGTGGCTTCCTCCCCCTGCAAGAAAACTCGGACAGAATCACTAGGCTGAACACAAAAGCTTGGAGAAGAGGTGTTTGGGAACAAAGGCGTACAGGGCTGCTGCCAGAATGTACAGAAGGAAATGAGGTGGGAGGGCGGACAGACATACAAGTAGCTCAAACATTTGGCAAAATGAGGATTTGTTTTATATATATGTGTATGTATGTGTATATATGTACATACATACATACATACACATAGATGAACTCACTGCTATTGAGTCAGTTCTGACTCATAGAGACCCTATAGGATAGAACTGCCCCTGTGATTTTCTGAGACTCATTCTTTATGGGGTAGAAAGCCTCTTTCTTCAGCAGGGTGCCTGAGGTTATGAGATACCAACTTTGTGATTAGCAGCCCAACCAGGTTTTTTCAATGTACACTATTAAAGAGATTTTGGGGGGGTTTTAGGGGGTGGGGTGGTTAAAGGTTGAATTAAATTAAAAGAAGAGGGGGAGGCAACAGGGGAGAGAGGGGAAAAAGGAAGACAGGAAGGAGAAACAGCTTTAGCAAGGCAACAGTTCTTCTGATCCTCAGGTGGCAAGTAGGCTGGGATAATGCCTCAGAGCGCCACCTGGTGACCCCACATAGAATTGTCCTATTAAGACAGCTGAAAAAAAGAGTCCTCACAGACGGTCAACCATCAAAGTTCTGCTTGCCATAGTCCATTGCTCATCAACCAGAAAAGAAGCAGCAGGATGTAATCACATCTTAGATTGTATTTCTTCGAGCACGTGAGCGCGCACGCGTGCGTGTGCGTGCGTGCGTGTGTGTGTGGGGGGTGGTGGTGGAGGGTTGCTGGGTTTTGTCATGGCTTTTTTTCCCATGCTTGTCCATGTCACCGTCATGAATTCACCCTCCCTCCAGGAGCCATGATTCTAACCAGGATTGCCTAGACATTTGGAGTTTTAGTACCAGTTAGATGAACTTGAGCTAGTTATGACTGGGATAATCACTTACCCTCCTCCCACAGTTGTGAAAACGGGTATGTGACCCAGTGTCACTTATTAGCAGGGACTTTGACATATTAAAGATCAAAGTAAAGTGTAATAATTGATGGGTGTGAACATAAGGGACCCTGGGTACACTTTGAAAAGAATTGTATAGATGCTCATTGTACAGATACGCGCTAGTTGAGGGAGTGGGGTAGTCGTAGAAGCAGCTTTAGAAAAAGCCGCAGTAGTTGAACGTATGGATGGCATCTCCTTTGTTCGTAGCAGAAAGCATCTTCTGTGTAGATGCAACTCACAGAGGACCATCAATGCACAACTCCTCAGAGGTGTGCACGCAGCCAGCACGCGACCTGACATTTCTAGGGCAGATCATTTGGATAGGAACTCTAACAACCAGCCAAATCCAGTCAGACTACAGCTGTGCTCCAAAGGGTTTTCAGTGTGCAATTTTTGGAAGTAGATTTCTGCTTTCTTCCAAACACCTTGGGATGGATTCGAACCACCAACCTTTCAGTTAATAGCTGAGCACCTAACTGTTGGCCCCATCAGGGACTTCAGAGACACAATAAAGCCCAAACCAAGCCTGTTGCTGTCAAGTTGGTCTGACTCATAGCGAGCTCACAGGACAGAGTAGAGCTGTCTCAGCGGTTGTCCAAAGCTGTAGGTCTTTCCAGAATCTGAAGGCCACAGTAAGGCCAACAGGCTCCTGGTAAACCTGTTGGTTTAAAACTGCCCACACTTACCCACTGCACCACCTGGACTCCTTAGAAACTAGAAGGCCTTTCCAATGGTGGACTTTGTAGTTCATGGTCCAACTACAAAGGCTCCCAGAAACCAGAACAAGGACTTAGAAATGGTTCTGTTTCCCAACTTGTTTTTTCCTTCCCTGATGTTTCACAACACAGAGTCCATTCCTTAACGTGAAACCACCACGTTTTGACCAAAACGAACAGCGACAGAACAGTGCTTTTTAAATTTTTTAATCATTTTCTTGGGGGCTCGTACAACTCTTATCACAATCCATCCATCCATCCATTGTGTCAAGCACATTTGTACATTTGTTGCCATCATCATTCTCAAAACATTTGCTTTCTACTTGAGCCCTTGGATTCAGCTCATTTTCCCACCTCTCTTCCCCTCCCCACCTCCCTCACAAGCCCTTGATAATTTATAAATTATTATTTTTTCACGTCTTACACTGACCAATGCCTCCCTTCACCCACTTTTCTGTTGTCCATCCCCCAGGAAGGGGGTTATATGTAAATCCTTGTGATCGGTTCCCCTTTCTCCCCCACCTTCCCCTTTCCCTCCTGCTATTGATACTCTCATTGGTCCTGGGGGGTTTATCTGTCCTGGATTCCCTGTGTTTCTAGTTCTTATCAGTACCAGTGTACATGCTCTGGTCTAGCCGGTTATTAAGGTAGATTTGGGGTCATGATAGTAGGGAGTGGGGGGGAAGCATTAAGGAAGGAAAGTTGTATGTTTTATCAGTGCTACACTGCACCCTAACCGGCTGGGACAGAACAGTTCTTTTTCAATTGTTACGGCTGGGACAGAACAGTTCTTTTCCAATTGTTACATTTTACTTCGGTGTCAAAGTCCCTGCTGATAAAAGCTCGTTGACTTTGGTATTAACAACTACACTGTGACAAAAACACTAAATTAAAATATCCACGACAAGCTGTTTCCCAGAAGCCAAGACAATTCTAATCAGATTCACCCTCAAGACACACATTTTAAAAAATACCTCACGCTATTTGTTCCTTTAGTTAAGCATGAAATCCATCTCAGTCATTATCTTTGTGAGAAAAATCCTGCCATAAGGCACAGGAAAAGGGCAGATGAAGAATTTAGTACTGGAAAGGAGGTCTGGTTTGTGGACCAGGTAAATAAGCCCCAGCCCCACGGTGGTGCATATGGTTAGCACACTCAGCTGTGAACAGAAAGAGTGGAGGTTCAAGTCTACACAGAAGTGCCTCGGGAGAAAGGATTGGCATTCGACTTGGCAGAAATCAGTCATTGAAAACCTTATGGATCCCAGTGGTTTCACACACACCCAGTCACCATCCTGGTGCAGGACCAGGTTCACTCAGGTTTGCATGGAATCACCCCGGAGTCAGGGGTCACCTTGAGGGTAGTAACATTATCCAGGATGTTGAGGTAAGGACATAAGAAGGGTCTATCCTTATACTTTCTTGCCATTGCATGTGGGGAAATATGTTAACAGCATTCCTAATTACCATCTATTTATTTACTCCTCATCTTTTGGGCACCTCCTATGCTCCCCTTCTAGATGACGGAGAGACAGCAAACAATAATCCCTTGCCCTCATGGAACTTACATTCTAAAGGGGCTTTGGCTTCTTTACAGCTTCTTTTGGTCAGTTTATTACTATTGGAGCTATTAGATAAATGTGGATCACAAAGTATCCACTTTCTCAGCCTTTCCATAGGATGATTAAGTAGGCTTTCCTATGCTATTGGAAGTGGAGCCCTGGTGGCTGTTTATTGGGCTGCTAACTGCAAGGGCAGCAGTCTGAATCCGCCAGCCGCTCTGGGGGAAAGGGCTTTCTTCTCCTGTTGAGTTACAGTCTCAGAAACCCACGGGGCAGTTCTACCCTGGCCCACAAGTCAGCAGCTACTCGATGGCAGGGGTGCCACTGGACAAGGTTCAAACCCTATTCAGCAATGTCAGATTTTGTCACTTATTGCACATCCATGAGTTGTTCCTTCTCTGATCACGATGCTTGGAATACTTGCACAACTGGAAATCTTCAACTTGTGCTTGGAGAGTGTAACTCACTTTTCTGTTGTATCCTTCTTCCCACCAGGCTACACATGGGGTCTGAGGATGTAACACCATCAGTTGTCTCCGAGATGCTTAGGGTTTGATTGATGAATCGCCAGCTCCAGCTAGGGCCGCCAAGGCAAGACGCTTTTCCTGGCAGTTCCAGCGCCCCAGAAGTCCAAAGACATAGGGGAAGAAGATGCAGCCAACAGGTCGAAAATGGCAGTCCCCAGAGCGTTAAAGGGGCCCCTTTCCGGCTTTCCCATCCCTGGCCCACATTTGTCTCCATGATGGCCGTTAACAGCACGTCCACGGAGACATACGCGGACTTCCAGTTGAACGTGAGCAACCGATGGGACTCGCCGCCGGCCACGCTGTCAGCCCCGCTCAGGGTCTCGTTGGCGATCATGATGCTGCTGATGATTGTGGTGGGCTTCCTCGGCAACACGGTGGTCTGCATCATCGTGTACCAGAGGCCCGCCATGCGCTCGGCCATCAACCTGCTGCTGGCCACCCTGGCCTTCTCTGACATCATGCTGTCCTTATGCTGCATGCCCTTCGCGGCCATCACCCTGATCACCGTCAACTGGCACTTCGGGGACTACTTCTGCCGGCTGTCCGCCACGCTCTACTGGTTTTTTGTCCTGGAGGGCGTGTCCATCCTGCTCATCATCAGCGTGGACCGCTTTCTCATCATCGTCCAGCGCCAGGACAAGCTGAATCCGCGCAGGGCCAAGGCGATCATTGCCATCTCGTGGGCACTGTCCTTCTGCATCTCCGCCCCGTCGCTCACGGGTTGGACGCTGGTGGAGGTGCCCACGCGGGCCCCGCAGTGCGTCCTGGGCTACACGGAGTTCCCGGCCGCCCGCGCCTACGTGGTGACACTGGTGGTGGCCGTGTTCTTCGTGCCCTTCGGGGTCATGCTCTGCTCCTACCTGTGCATCCTCAACACGGTCCGCAAGAACGCCGTCCGCGTGCACAACCAGTCCGACAGCCTGGACCTGCGCCGGCTGCCCCGGGCCAGCCGGCTCCAGCTGCAGCGGCAGCACCAGGTCAGCGTGGACTGGAGCTTCAAGACCAAAGCCTTCACCACCATCCTCATCCTCTTCGTCGGCTTCTCGCTCTGCTGGCTGCCGCACTCGGTCTACAGCCTCCTGTCGGTGTTCAGCCGGCGCTTCTACTACGGCTCCTCCTTCTACGCCACCAGCACGTGCGTCCTGTGGCTCAGTTACCTCAAGTCCGTCTTCAACCCCATCGTCTACTGCTGGAGAATCAAAAAATTCCGCGAGGCCTGCGTCGAGCTGCTCCCGCACACCTTCCAGATCCTCCCCAGAGTGCCTGAGCGCATCCGCCGCAGAATCCAGCCCAGCACCGTCTACGTGTGCAGCGAGAACCAGTCGGCCGTGTAAAGGGGAGGCCACCCCGGCCGGGGGCGGCAGGCGGGCCATTTCGGGGTCCGGGTTCGCCTTCCCAGTACTGGACCCAGAGGCAGCATGTTGTCGTGGCGGTTGTAGTACAAAGATACTCCTGTGTGGCCGCGGGGCTGTGGGTCCCAGATGTTAGCGAGAGGATGCGTTCCGTTTCTCCTTGCAGAAGCGTAATGTGTGGGTCTGCTGGAAGCTGGGGCGGGGGTTAGGGGGCCACTTCGAGTGGCAGGAAGTTCAGGAAAAGGGGGGGGGGGGATGTCAGGGAGTAACGTGGTTGAGTGCCCGGGGTGGAAGGGTGCTCCAGTTAAAACGGTTCTCAGCTCCGCCATCCTTGCTCCCTCTAGACTCTAAGTGGTGCAAATGCTCACCCTCTAGCGGGAAGGTTGGTAGTTCAAATCCCCCGTGCTGTGCCCCCGAACCAGACATGGCCATCTGCCCTGGAAGCCCCGTGGGGCAGTTCTAGTCTGCACGTGCGGGGTCCCCGGGCCGGGACACCGGCTCAGCCACGGCTGACTGCCCCTTCCTGCCGTCGGAAGCCAAACCACACGGTGCCATATTTTGCTTTGAGGCACTCGAAACAGGTATCCTCTCCGCTGCCCTTCAAAGTTCTTTCCGTTGCGTGGCGTATGGAGAAGCATCCTGTCTCCATACCAAATCCACCAGTAGGGACGGGAGCGCTTGCGCTTCTCCCTGGGTCTGTCTGCCGGTGGGAGCCCGCAGAGGCCAGGGTGCCGCCCCGGGAGGGGTGGGGGGGGAAGAGTCAGCTCGCCACGCCCGTTTCTCATTTGTGCTACTTGCAAACTCCTGCATGTGCCCCCACTGCCTGGTCCAGGTCCCCCAGCTGTCCTGTCCCTCCCTGTGCTCTGAAGTCTCACCCTCCCGGTCTGCTGCGAACACAGCCCCCGAGGGACCCATCGGTTTGTGCTGGACTACCCACCTCAAGGTTAGTGCTTCAAGCCCACTCAGCGACTCCACAGGGGACCGGCCCGGCGGGCTGTGTCCGAGAAGATCACAGCCAACACAACCCCACGGAGCTGTTGGACTTGATAACCCTGGGGTAGCCATGAGTTGGCGTGGAGTTGTGTGTGTGTGTGTGTGTGTGTGTGCGCGCGCGCGCGCCTCCTGTCTCTCCTTTCACCGTTTCTTTCGTTTGATGAACTTCTGTGGTTCATCTCCTCGACAAGGATGGTGAGTGACTTGCTTGGCTTGTCAGAAATGGTTCATCATTGTGCTTTGTTTACACGCTCCCGCCCATTGCCCCCACCACCGCGGGGTGAACCACCAAGCTGACGTCAGCACCAGTCACAGGAAACCAAACCCGCCCACCAGGGCTCCAGAGCGCTCTGCGCTCCTCCTCTGCTGCTCATTTGAGCCTGTCTGTCCATCCGCCTGGAACCTGCTTTCTCGTGGGATGGGGCGGAAGCTGCCTCCAGGGGCAGCTGTTTCTGTTTACACCTTGATGGGCCCTGGCTACCTTTCACCATCAGGAGCTTCTGACATCACCGGAGGAGGGCTTTCCTGAGTGCAAGACATAATAAGCTTATGAAGCCAGGAAGCTCTTTTGTTTGAAAGGATCCCTGGTGGTTTCCGGTACCAATGCTACTAATGTTAGTAGCAATAGGCTATTAACCATACGATAAGCAGCTCAAACCCACCAGCCCTTCTGTGGGAGAAAGATGAGGCCGTCTGGTCCCATTAACGTTCCATTTTTAAAAACCTAAGGATAGCCATTCTACTCTGTCGTCTAGGTCACCGTGAGTTGAAATAGACTACGGGTTAGCTCTTTTGAAGGAACCCTGGCCGCGTGAAGGTTAAGCTCTGGGGTGCTAACTGCAAGGTTGGTGGTTCAACCCCTTCCCCCTCAGAATCTCTGTGGAAGACAGATGAGGCAATCTGGTCCCATAAAGATGACAGCCCGGGAAATCCTCCGAGGCACTTCTACGCTGTCGTGTAGGGCCACCCCAGTGCGCCCGGACTCTACTGCCCCCGACATTATCAAGCTCTCTTGACATTTGGAGAGCCTTTGTAAAAATGAGATCTTAGCGAATATGACTCCAGGTCTCGCCCTGCCAGGAACGAGTTGCAAGGCCTTGTGTGGATTCCTCCTCTCCCCTAGGCTTCTCTCGGTGCCGTCCCCAGGGAAGGCACTGATCTGGAAGTGACCACCGCCCTTGCCAGCTCTCAAGCACACTTCTTTGAATGTTCTCCACCTTTTGTCACCAGGTCCCCTGCGTTCCTTATTTTCATTCATGCATTTATTAAGTGCCTACTAGATGCAAGGCATTGTGGGGGGAGAGAGTGATGAATATGCTAGGGCCCTGCCCCACAGCAGCGTACTGTTTAACTCAGGATAATGGTCCCTGAATATAAAGCCTCAAATCGTGGAGGCTAGGTGTTTATTCCATGTCTCACTTTATTTCTAAGTCATGTTAAGAGACTGCGGGTGGCACACCTAGTGAAGTGCTCAGCTACTAACTCAAAGGCTGGCGGCTCGGAGCCCACCTCCAGGTACCTCGGGAGAAAGGCCCGGGGAGCTAATTCTGAAAAGCAGTCGCTGAAGACCCAGCCTCCTCTGCTACCCTTGGACAACTGTTTGTATATTCCTTTGTTTGTTTGCTATTGCTCATGGTAAGAGCCCAGCTCCTCCCTCTCCGGCTTTCTTCCTGTGGTAGGTGTGACCCGGGCAGGGGCGGGAGGCAGGCACAGAGAAGAACATACTATACATTAATCTAGTCCAGGAAATGAAGGATCCACCTTTCCTCACTTGCTCCCTGCTTCTTTATATCTAAGCGAAGACAGAGGAACACTCGAAATGAGTGTGTGATTCATTGATGTGGATTTAGTCCACTTGCGCCCCGAGGGCTCACCAGGAATAGGCCAGCATTTGCCTTCAGCTCCCCTGGGGCAGGGTTGCAGGTGGCCCCAGGGTGCAGGGCAGGGCCTTTTCAAGCCCCCGAAGTAGCCCATGATACCAAGCCAGGGGGAGCCTCCCCTCCAGTGAGCATTTGTGAATGTTCATAGGCACCTTGAATAAAATAGAAATCACAATACTGAGTGAACGTTGGCACCCACATTTATGTTCATCGGTGTTCCATGATGTATGTCTGACAGTGCTATATATGTTTCAAAGTAATAATTTTGTATATATTTTAAATAAAGTATTATTGCTCTTTTGGTGTATAAGACTATACTTTTTGTTGGTCAAAATGAATGCCACAATCCTCAAGCGTAAGCCAAGAATCGAATGTGCATCCCCCACGCCCGCCACCCTGGCCAAGAAAACCAATGTCAGGAAGTCGTGAGCAGAGTGTCAGCATGCCTGAGGCAGCCATGACAGTGAGAACTGAGCGGCTGGGTGTGAACAAAGTGGATCAGTTTGGGAGGCCCCTCTCAGGATCTACTTGCCAAGCCTCTGAAAGTCCCCAGAGCCAGTTCGTTTGCACCCCTGGCTTTCAGATGGTCTGTCTGTCTGTCTGCATCCTTATCTCTGGTCTCAGTGAGCCTTTCATGAACTGCACTTTCTTACGATCGTACAGAAATACCATTCTGGTTGCATTCCCCAAGACTTCATAGACTACTCCTCCTCCTACTACGCATTTTCCTTCTCCTTCTTCCACCTTCTCTGCAGCCCTAGAATTTACCCAGACCCTGCGCTCTGTTGGAATCCCATGCCTGTTTCACACCACAATTGTTTCTGCAGGACCTTGGGTGAGAGACGAGAAACCAGCTGCCGGGGGTTATAACTGACACAGGAAGGCGAGACCCCTGGGTGGGCCTTGTCTTAGAAAATGGAGCACAAAGTTGATCTTAGAAATGCCTCTGATTCTGTCATCCTGAAAACCCGCCACCTTTAAGCCCTTCATCTTGATCCCCATTGTTGGGGTAAAACGAAAGGAAAGGCTCTCTGCGTCTCTCTGACAATCAAGATAAGGGGCAAAAACCTAAATCTGCTCGTCCTTTGTTAATTTGAACCCAGGTTATCTTTCCTCCTCCACAATTTACATGGCAGCTTTTACAAAATAAAACAGCCTCCCTGGGAAGCATTTCTGAGGGTGCTCTGCTCCCCTTACTCATGCCGGTGGCAGCCCCAGCCCCAAACCTCTCAAAGGGCACAAGTGCCTTGTGCCCCGGGTTTTGCTCAGATGGGAACGGTGCAGGGACAGTAGACGAGAATGACCATGTGCTTCAGAACTGGCCAGTCCAAGCCCAGTGCCACCTGCCTCTCTGTGTGGTCCTGGGCAAATTGCAGGACCTTTTGTGACCCAGCTTTCTCACTTCCAAGATGGGGAAACCTGATTGATGGCCAAGGTTCTCTCTCAGCTGCAGGGGCTATGTGGGTGTGAGGGGTGGGGGGCTAGCTGTTCAAACCCTTACCTGGTTCTCATGGGGCCTAAAGTTTCAGGGTTCAGTTGGCATGAACACAACATCCACTGGTGCCAAGAGCATGGAGTTGACATTGAGGAGCCAAATTCAGTTCTTTGACCTGAACTATGCCACCAAGCTCCAGTAAAAATCTCACTGGGCTATAAAATGAATTCACGAAGTTGACTAGGAGGATGGAATGGCTGGGTGACATCTACCCCGTTCCCATGTCTAGGAAAACACCCTGCACATCCTGCAATCTTAGGTCATGAGTTATGCAGTAGCCTGAGAGTGATATTTGGGAGTGCAGGGATTCAGGAGGGAGACAGGAGTGTACATGAGCACAAAAGTCTATGCTGCTATAACAGCAGAGAGCTTACACTAAAGAGGGCCTTTTGGTTTGGCTTTGCTCTGCAAACCCGGCTTTGTTTCCTCTCTCACTAAAAGTCTAGGCCAGCAGACAGGTTGTCTGCCCACGTGGTTGCTCAGGACTCAAGTTTCTTTCATCTAGGTTCCCATTATCCCCTGGGCAATGTCTTGATCTTGGTGATCAATCTGGGCTGCCACCGTTTCCGTGCTCCAGCTCCTGGAAAGGGGGAAGACCATAGAGGAATAACAAA